ATACCCTACCGGACGCGTTTCAGAAGCGGAGCGTCTTGCCTGCCGGCTCGCAGCTTTTGTTGATTTGGGCATATTTCCTGGACAGGCTACTTTGTACAGACAAAGTTAATAATAATTGCAATATTCCAGTTATAAACGACATGAATCAAAGATGTGTTGCTGTATTTTAGTGGGAAAAAAATGCATTCATCATCATAATTATTCTAATTTACACAGTGCCTGTAAACCGGAGGAGAACGCTGGCATTTCTCCTCCTACTTGAAAGACTACGGAGGGATAGGGTCTGCAAAATTAGTTTATTTTGGAGATAGGCCAGATGCTCTGACCAGTCCACTTCCTGCCCGGCGCCTCTGCCGACCATTTGAAATATGTCCGCAATCCTAGGAGCAATGTTTACAGCGTTTCGTGAATCTCGGAAGAAGAAAAAAAGTACTTTGGAGTAATTTGTGACATGTAAATCGTAAAAAATTGTAAATTGTCTGCTAGCTTACGAGCTCCCCGTTTGAGCGATCGACTATTCTTTCGCAATTTAGCATCACATTGGATATGGGCTGAACGTTTCCTGGATTGGAATTTTTCCGATCATTTCCGTAGGAGGAGTTTGCAAAAATATGCTTAAAATGCTTGAAAAACGCACATTCTTCAATATGGCCGACTTTCTGGGGGGCGGGGCTAATGGAAGCCAATTTGAAATATGTCTGCAATCATAAGAGCAATGTGTATACAGCGTTTCGGGATTATCGGAAAAAGTAAAATGCGTGAAAAATGCAAATGTTTCCAAAAGGCCAACTTTCTCGGGGGCGGGGCTAATGGAAGCCAATTACAAACATGTCCGCAATTCCATGAGGAATGTCTGTGCCAAACTATATATGACTACCACACAATAGGGGCGCTACTGAGCTATTTTAACAAAAAATTAAGATTTCGTTTTTTTACATTCTCGAAAATGTCGTGGGCTTTGACGTGTGTCCCAAGTTTTGCGTACGAAGCTCATTTCACCCGGATAAGTGTGCAACATTTCAGGGCAAACAGACAAACGGTACGACTATGTAAATGTTTCCAAGATTATTTACACATAGGTGGTGCTAGCAAGCATGTTGGACAATTTGAACCCATTGACTCCAGAATGTCAAATGTTTCACCGGTCCTGGCGTCCGTGCAAAATTATACAACTTTTGAAGCGTCCTAAAGCCCTCAAAAACAGGAAACGCCAGCAGAATAAGAATAATTCCACCAATAACAATAGGTTCCTCGCACTTCGTGCTAGGACGCCGTTGGGACTGGGTGCCGTATTGGCGGGACGTTGCGGGGCTCGCTGCTCCGCCCTTTGAGGCTTGAGGAGCGGACAATGCGAGCTGGGTTACTGGTGTCGTTTCCTGGTTGCTGCGTGGGGACTGCGAGACAGCGAGACACCGCGGAACTCAGCCTGAGCACACACAAAAACTCACAGCCAGGCTGTTCGCCACACACTCACAGCCTGAGAAAAGATAAGGCTGAGTGAGTGTTTCTCCGCGATCCCAACTCGTCTATTACCAACATTCAGGGAGCTCTATGCAAGTCAATGGGACTCCCTGATAGTTGAAAATCGACACTAAAGGTCAGCCCACTGTGTTTGATAGTGGCGCCCAGTGTTGGGCAAGTTACTTCCAAAATGTAATACAATATTACTGTCTTTACTAACTTACATTACAATATTACTGTCTCTGAAATGTAATGAGTTACACTACTTTTATATTACTTTTGAGTTACTTTACCAAAATAACCGCAAAAAAATGGCTAGGTATTTTAAATGCTAAAATGTAGTTTAGTGCAGCTCATTATACATCCAGTGAATAGCATAACAACTGTGTAGGCCATTAAGGCTACTAACACATTTTATTACACGGCTTAGTTGAGTACTCTATGCTGATTGATCGATGTGACACGTTGTAAATCCAGTAGTACAGACCACTGTCAAGGACTATAATGAAGGTTGCTAAGGAGGATCAAGAAAGAGAAAGGAAAAGAGGTTAAAAGACGGAGCGCTGGACGTCAGATAAATCACCAGAAAAAGGCAGAGAGGAAGTAAACAATAACAGGAACACGGAATGGGCTCGATTGGTTGTTTAGTATATGGCCGTGTATTAAACGGGATAATGTGCAGCGAGGCGGTCATTATGGGGAAAAGAACACCCGACAGGCTGATCAGGGAACCCGACACGAAGCAGAGGGATCTTGATGAGCCTGAATGGCAGGCCCGGTTCCAGAACAAAATGACTCTGGGTGCATCTGAAATTACAGGGGGTGCAGCAGTAGTAGGTTTACGTGAGCAATAGCGGCCGGCAACAGCAATGAAAAATAGCATTGATGTTATGGTCGGTCCCCAATGAACAGATTATGGCATGTATGTTGTTTTGAAACCAAGCAAGTGAGAACATTTCAAGTTAAAAGTGCAATCCTGAAATATTTCATCTTCAAAACTGTACTGATAAAACAAATGAGAACATATTGTAAATCAAGGCAAATATTATTTGAACCAGCTCATGGTTTGAAATGGCAAACATTGAAAGGCAAAAGTATTATTAAAACCATGTACATCATCACCTTGGTCCCATCATATACTCTGGGAAGAGATGATTTACTGTGCTTGAAAACTGGTATCACATCATCATGTGAGGTTGACTGGAGAACATTTCAGCTGCAACATCAGCTTGTTGATAAGCTTGAGATATATGAAATATTTTTGTAGCTTTTCGTGGTGAAGGCATCTGTGCTATTGTATGCATTATTTTTGACCCAACATTTCTACAGACATGGCAGAATATGGCACTATTTTACATGAATATTCTAGCCATTCTATTTTAATACCACGAGCTGCAAAATGTATAGGACATAGGGACAGGAAATTGCCATTACAATCTTGTTGGCAGCTCATCCCTTAAAAACAGAAGTCCCAGTGTATATATATATATATTATAATATGACATATGAAGGGTCTATTTCAAGCTTGTTATGTAAATAAGTTATGCTTAGGCTTCTTTTTATCGACTACGGCCAGGGTCATTTGGCCCCCGGGCCGTAGTTTGGCCTGGTTTAAAGTGTTAATTAAGAGTAAAGGGAACAAACCTGCTCTGTGTATCCGAAGCTGAGGCTGTAAAAGAGCGTCCAGTAGTTTCTGGAGTCTCTTGTTCTCCTCTTTTGAACGAGACAGCTCCTCCTCGTACTCTGCCATCGTTTTTTCAAACAGAGCAAATATCTCTTCACCAGCAGGAGTGAGTAGCAGCTTCTTCAACGAAAGCAGCATTTGGACTTTACTCATGTTTACTAGATCACCTTTTCCTGCAAACTCCGTTAAACACACTGTTTCTTTCTCTCCATCAAACTCTCAATCTGACTAGTGTTACCAACTTGTTTCCAGCTAGCATGCTAAGCTATCTCCGAAAGTCCGAGGTAAACGCTCCAGAAAAAAGAGCACAGTCCATTCGGAGGATTATCCAAAAACACAGATGATGGATTAGTAGTGCTGGAGCTCACACAATGTCTCAGGAACACAGAGAGAGAAAACCGTAGCGACCTAGCGACGAAACGCTGTCACTACCCGATCAGTCCCCTTGCCCGATCGGTACTGCGCATGTGCGAGATGGTCCGCCGTATTGGACAACTCCGGACGGCAACCCAAGATGGACACTTGACACAGTGGCTTTTAGCAAAAATAAATATTGAAGTTAAAAGCATCAATCTGGTGCACTTTGAGAGCAACATTAACCCTACCTTAATAATACCTTAAAGCGGACAAAAGGCACTGGAGAACACTTATTAATTAACACCCTTTAATGAAGCAAACTAATGCCTTAACTCACTCAAATACAGTCGTTTACTTATTTCGGTGAAACGAACGTGCGTAGAGTTTTAAAGGATGCTGATAGTCTCACCTTGATTCTGGCGCATTGCTTATCGTTCTATAGATCTATTCTCATCCACCATCTATGTTTGTGACGTAAAGTTATGTGTACTGAAGCGAGAGCCGGTATAATTCCACGCGCGAAAACAAAATTAAAATACGTTATTTTAGTGTCTTAAAAGTAGACTGAGGTATGAAGGGTTAACGTTACATCTTAGGATAATTTTTAGTCATGTTCTGTATACTAACATATAAGGGTATAGGCCTACTTAGTGTGGTTACTCCATGTTTACTAGCTATAACATTAACGTTACATCACTCTTTTTTACTTCTTACTCAGTCAGCCAGAGCGCAGATATCACCATTAGATTCCCAAACCTGAAACATCATCCATGTCTTCACTGCTGGTGATGACATTGTTGTCAGCTGCTGATACTGCTGCTGCTGCAGCTTGTGGCGCCTGCTTTGATGACAATAACTTTCTAATATCCATAACTGTATAGGCTATTAGCTTAAAACTCGTCAGGCACTAGGAAGGATTACTTCTTCTTCAGGACAGGCTACGCAGTACACAGGGTTGGGAGAGTTACTTTGTAAATGTAATCAGTTATACAGTATAAAGTAATCCGAATACAGTTACGTGTTTTAAAAAAGTAACGTAATCAGATTACTTTTAGATTACTTTCTTTTTCCATCACAGATGGGTATGTTTTGGTGAACAGGAGACACAAAAAGCAAAAGGAAACTGAACGTGTTTTACTGTTTTAATGGCTTATCAAGAGCACAACTGAAACATAACCTCTAAAACGATGTAACAACATAATACCCTTTTTGGGGATGTAGCTTGGGATGTGAGGAGTGAGGAACACGGCTTAGAACGGGACTGCGAAACCAAAATGTTCCCAAACCGGAGACTTCAATGATGCTGGAGGATTTACGAGCTCAACTTTATCTGCGTTCGCCATTTCGACAGTTCCTCAAATTACTGACTACATCTGAACGCATCCCTCTGACCAGCTCTCATAGTATGCCTCTCGTCCAATTAAATGACTTGCTCGCTCTATGACGCGTTAAACACAATGTGAGCAAATTACTCTGAATGCTGCGACGCAGCACCTGAGATTACTTCCAAGAAGTTGTTCACGTTCTCAATTTTTTACGTTTAACGTTATATTCGTTCGTGTACCGTTACACCCCTAGTAAATAGTAAAGTCGTATTTTATTCATTGAATACCTCTGTGAAAGAAGGGGAAATAATAGTTTCTAGTTTCAAAATAATAATTAACTTGATTTGTCAACATTTCCAGAAAAGCCAAGTTAAAAGAATCCGCTTTATTTACATGGTTACAAATTCTAAAATGTTCTCTTATTTGTTACAAAGGTTTTTCACCTGCATAAAGTGACTGCATAAAGTGAACTTGCCAATCAAAATAAAACATATTGAAAATAAGCTGTGTCACTGGAGTGAAATCCTGTTCCCAAAGTCCGGTAGACGCCTCATCCCTTTCAAGTGGGGACTACACCCCAAAAAGCCCATGAAACATGACAGTACCATTATATCTGGTTTGCTTTCAAACCACATTTTGCCAGTTGATCCACTACCTCATTCCCTCTAATACCCACATGCGCTGGAACCCACACAAATGAACATCAATTCCCAAATGAACTAACCTAAACATGATGTGTAAAATATCCTGACGACATTCCAGAGCTGCGCTGGAGTCAGAGCAAATATGTCTGCTAGCATATGGCTGTATTTCCTCTACCCACTGAAGTGCTAGTGAGATAGCCATCATCTCTACTGTGTATACTGCGATGTGATCACTTGTTCGCTTTCCCACTTTGACCTTTAATTCAGGAACATAAAATGCACAACTAGTTTGACCATTTTCTGGATTTTTGGATCCATCAGTAAATTGTTTGTGTAGAACAGTGTTCACATAAGCCTGCACATTGATTTTATTTTTCATTGAATGTAACCGTTTCAATAAGGATAAATCTACTATAGGTTGGGGTAGCAACCATGATGGTAGAACAGCTGATAACAACACCATCGGACTAATATTCCATTCTTTAACTTTGAATTCCTTACATAATTCCGAAACACAAAAACTTTTTTTTTTCCCAACTTGTTTTTACAGTTTGTTTAGTAGGGTGAGTATCTGTCCCCGTAGATTTGCCCAGTAATTAACAATTAACTGTTTTTTCCTCAAAGAAATTGGTATTTCTCCGACCTCTACCTGAAGTGTAGATCTGACTGCCCCACAGCATATCCTTAGTGCTTGTGCCTGGACTCTATCTAATTTTTGTAGAGAAGAGTATGCAGCTGAACCATACCCTATTAGTCCGTATTCTATGACTGATCTAATTAAGGCTGTATACGTTCCTCAAAGCAGCTTTATCAGCCCCCCACTTAGTGCCTGCCAAGCACCTCATAACATTTAAAACCTTTGTACATGTATCTACTACTTTATCAATGTGAGTACTCCATGTGACTCTCTCATCCAACCATATTCCCAGAAACTTAAATGTCTTCACTTTCTTTAGTTCTTGTCCATAAAGTTTTAACCTAACCTCCTCACCTATCCTTTTCCTCGTAAAAAAACGACAATCTAAACCCCCATGAGACGAGCTTTCAATTTCCGTAATGGCTTCCTGAATCTTACCTACAATATAATTTACATTTCTGCCCCTTTTGACTATCCGATCTGCATATCTGCCTGATTTAAATTGCGTATGTGCGAGATGGTCCGCCATATTGGACAACTAGCCTACATACGGCAAATCAAATGGGACACTTGACACAGTGGCATTTGGTAAAGCAGAAAAAGAAAAGTAAAAAAAACAGACAATATTAATCTGAACGAGAGAGATGAGCTATTGTTATTACAACGTGACTTCACTATTATTTAACAACTCCTTTTATTGGGTTAAGTACATTCTCAGAATAAGTGAGAAATGGATTGAACTTCTGTTAGACAGCTATCATACTGAAGAAATATTTACTGTGAATGTATACAAAAAGGTAAGGCATTAATAATGTATATCTAATTACATAAACTGTGAATGTCTTTCATTTTATTAATTAAATACAATTACATAAAAACATTTCCATAAAAAAGTTGATTCAAGAACAAATCTCTGTTATTAGATCAGTACTTTTCTTATATGATTATTATTGCTAATTTGAAAAGTCTTTACCAGCTTTGGAATGATATATATATATATCAATGTAAATTGGGCAACCGTTTAAGTTTAAAACTCGTGCATGCGCAATGCATATTGGGCAGCCGTCTAGACGTCAAGTGTCCTATTTGGGTTGCCCTACACTGAAAAAAATGGGGAGTAAGATTTTTTTATTATCAAGTATCATCAAATGCAATTCTTATTCAATAAAACTCTTTTACACTAAGGCGGCTACTACAAAACATGAAACAGTAGACACTTTTAAACAGCAACATTTTTTTTCTGTTGTCTGATACATGCCATGATTAATCTACAGTTTACAATGATTTTAACAATACTGCACATACAGTACATCAGTTAAACTTAACAAAGCAGGTCGAAGAAGTATCAGGCCCTTTTCTTAACCCTTATGATGTGTTTGGGTATCCAGTGACCCGTTTCAAGTAAAAATTATATAATAACTACTCTAGTTTTTTTTATCGCTTCATGATATCCTCCACAACAGCTATATAAACACTACAAAACTGATTTTGACAATTTTAGCCAAGTCTGAAGGTCTCTAAAAAAAAAAGTGTATAATTTGGTGTTCGGGTCTGTGAAGACCCAGCAGAATTGTTGTGGGTGACTCGGGGTCAAATTTTGCCCAATCAAGATTCATCTTTGACTTTAGACATCCCATCCCCACCCTCTTCATCCACTGTAACACTACTTTTTTCGCAACATCCACCTGGTCTCCCATCCCTCTGGCTGGCCCCCCTCCCCCACGGGAACTCCACCTTTCACAAAGAATATGTACACTAACACTTGAACCTGAACACACACATGCACGTGGGCAATATGTGGTGTAATGTGTTGTGGAACCATACAATTAAATTACAACAGGATTGTACAGTTATGAATGCATAATAAGTTAGTTATGATGTAGTTAAAACAATATTGGATGATAGTCATTATTTTTCAGTGTTTGAACTGAGATAAATCATGGGTCAAAATTGACCCGCGAAACACCATGAACGGTAACAGCTTTCGAACACAACACAAGGGTTAAGTACAAAATATTCATACCACACTGTAAGAATACTACAAGTGAAAGTCTGGTAATGAAAATGTTACTTAAGTAAAACTATAATTAGCTAAATTCTGTTTGATTATTACATGTAAAAAGTACCCTGTAGTAAAACATCCAATATTAACAAACAAAAATGTAATAGCTGAAGGATTTCTAAAAATATTTACATTTTTTGGTAAATTAAAAAACAGAACCTTATACTTTATACACTCTATATAAGATAGTGAAGCACAAAGTACAATATGTCCCTTTGATTTGTAGTGGAGTATAGAGTGCAATGGAATGAAATTCTCAAGTACCTCAAAATGCCACCACTGCTTCTGCAAACATGTGGGCTTTCAAGATAAATCTTGAGGAAATTAAGTTCAAGATGGATTTTTGAAAACGACAGAAGCGTATTTCAACTTTGATGTGTTACTTAAGTTCATTGCATGGATGATGCCCGTGAGCAGAAGGCAGGCGTTCACCAAACATTTACACTCATCAAGCACCTCCGATCCCTCGATGGAGATGGACACGTTGGGAGGTGTGGCGTCTTCTTTTGCTGAACTTCATGGGGGACATGGATCTTCACGACACTCAGCATAGTCCTTTTTCTACGATATCTTTGCCTCCATTCTGTCAAAACATGTAAATCAGTGTTAACTTACAACATGCCCGGCGCCGTGGGAGGGCCAGGCCCTCCCATTTGACATTCCTGCCCTCCCCCAATAAACACGTTTTTTATTATTTATAAAAATTTAAAAATATATATTTTTTATTTTTTTAATTATAAATAAACTGTGAACTTTTATGCTACGATGTATGTGATGTCAGAACAAACAAAAAAAATCGCAGGCTACGTCAAATAAATGCATGTGTCTGTTGTGATTTGTGATTCGTCCCCATTTAGACCAATCACAGCGTCACACTCTGCCGCCTATTCTGGATTTGTTTATTGTGCATTCTGTAGACTCCCATTTCTGTTTGAATTTCAAAATGGACATCAGAAATTGGCTTAAAAGGTCTAAGGATTTATTAAAACGAAATAGCGCTGAAATAACTGCAGCCGATGGTGATGCTGGCGACCCTGCACCTGCCGTTGCAGCAGCACGCCTTAATGTCACAAGCTTGACCTCGGCAAACCCCGGGGCTGAGTTAGCGATGATATTGGGGTTAATACCCAAGCAAGTGAAGCTGGGTCGTACGGAGCCCCTAAAGGGACATGTAAAAAAAAAAAAAAAAAAACAGAGAGAAAAAAAAAAGTCAGGATAACGAGTTAGTATCTCGTGCGCACGAGAACGTTTCTCGTGCGCACGAGATACTAACCCCCTGATCCCACCGGAAGCGTCTGCGCTGCGGCTGCGCCGCGCTGCGACCTCCTCCTGCGTCATAACCCACCAGGCGCGTTTCTAAACGTTGCGGAAGCAGAGCATCGTGTGTGCAGCCTCGCAGTTGTTGGATGAACGTTCCACTTCCTGCCTGCGCCGCGCTGCGTCAAAAATAGGATTCATCCTATATTTTAGAAATTCCTTGCGGCGAGGAGCTTCTGGGACGCTTCGAGCCGCGGCGCAGCGGGTCTGGTGGAATAGCACCCATTGACTAGAGTGGCCGCGATCGCTAAAAACGCCGCAGCGCAGCGCAACGCAGCGCAACGCAGCGCAGCGCAACGCAACGCAGCGCAACGCAGCGCAACGCAGCGCAACGCAGCGCAGACGCTCCTGGTGGGATTAGGGGGTAACTCGTTATCCTGACTTTTTTTTTACTAACTCGTGCGCACTTTTTTTTGTTGAGAAAGTTACCGGTGCGCCAAGGAGGAAGTGAAGCGCACAGGAGACAACCATTTCATTGCAGACTGTTATGTTTACGTGGGGGAAATGACAGTGCATACATTATTTGAGATATATATCGTATAGACGGCTAGTGACGGGCGGCCCACTTTGGTACCGGCCCAATGGGATTCGTCCCGAACGTCCCGATGGCCAGTCCGCCACTGGCTGTGTGTGTGTGTGTGTGTGTGTGTGTGTGTGTGTGTGTGTTTGTTTCCCTATAAAACAGTACTCTGAGAGTCACGGACATTAATTCATAGATCAAAGAGCAGACTGGTTTACAGACTCGCCAGTGTTTTGCCAATCCGGTGCTTAAACCAATAGCTCTACAACCCTGGCCGAAATGTCCATCAAATTAAGTCTGACTTCAAAATATATCTCAAATAATGTATGCACTGTCATTTCCCCACGTAAACATAACAGTCTGCAATGAAATGGGTTGTCTCGTGTTCCACTTCCTCCTTGGTGCATCGGTAACTTTCTAAAAAAAAAATAAAGTCAGGAAAACGGATTTGTTTCTCGTGCGCACGAGAAACAAATCCGTTTTCCTGACTTTATTTTTTCTCTCTCTCTCTCTTTTTTTTGTTTTTTTTCCATGTCCCTTTAGGGGCTCCGTAGGATCGTTATCCAGGGAGATTAATTTCAGGAAAGAAGCGCACTTTTGCCGCTGCATGGTACATTAACAGACCATGGCTTGAAGATTCGTTAAAAGCAGACGCAGCCTTTTGTTTCCCCTGTAGACAGTTTAAAGTCAATACGTCTTCATCTGATGCGGCTTTTACTGTCAAAGGTTTTTGCCACTGGAAACACGCATTACAGACTGCTAAGACATGCCGCATCAAAAGAACACATTTCATGTGAGAGTTTGTGGAGAGAGAGACAGATACGTGAGGAAACAAATAAGGAAATGAGTACTTTGGTGCAGATCAGCTGGCACGGAGCCATTATTACGTGTCAGCTATCGTTGATATTAAAGCTTTTTTAGCTGTCAACCAACTCCCTCTCAGAGGTGACTTGATTCACTCCACAGCATGTCCGAGTGCAATGCATAGGAACATAAACCATGCCCAAGGCGGGCTAAACAGTTCATCGTCTCCGTCTCTACTATTTCTCTCCGAGTGCAACGATGAGGAAGCTGCCATCCTTAACCAGTGTGCCTTGCTCGTGATTTACCAGTGTTTGTGCTGCCACGCACACAATGTTTCAAAAGTGGTTTCTATGTTGCCCTTTATTTGTGTATGTATTTGCGATAAGTGTGCGTCTTTACGCGATGCTATTGGCCTTGCTGTTTGATATATATTATGCCGCAGGCCCGCAGCACGTGACGGTTTTGTGTGCCCTCCCATGAAAATCATATGCCCTCCCTTTAGATTTGTTCTGGCGCCGGGTCTGACTTACAATACTGTAAACTTTTCTGTGAATTTACTAAGACTGATTGGGTTGAGCTAGCTATTTAATTTAGTATTTAAGTAGCCATTGATTTTAAATGTTCTTTTTAAGCAAAGGGGATGGGGTAAGCTTCAAACGGTTCAAAGGGCTTTATTATCATATGCACATTAGCTACTGTGTGGATATGGGAATTTATATTAACTAACAAGTAAGGAAGCTCAGTTTATTAAATGTTTTCTTTGTTCCAAACAGGAAGTAAACCTGATTAAATAATTTGGTTCTAGGCTCAAATTATCAATTCTCCTGAAAAACCCATTTTGAATCAGAATAGTAAACATTGAAATTGAGTAAGTTTGAAAATATAAATAAATATGATACAGTAAAATGTATGTAAAAAAATGTACTTTATCTAAATGTTAACTTAAAAACTGGAGACTGAAGAGGTTTTTCACATAATGGCAAGATGAACTTACCTTTAGAGAATAGAGATATCCATGTACAAACAGAACAGCAGACACATTTTAACACAAATCAAGCAGAACATTTACCTGGTACTCTTTAATCAGCTCCTCTGCAGACTCTTCCAGAAGCTCCATCAGGCGGGAGGACGGCTTCCACTTCAACGTGGTGCTGTTGAACAGACATGTCAATTATTGTAGCGAACACACATAACTGTAACTACAGAAAGATATTGGAAACAAAGATTATGCCTAAAGTACAATTTAACGCACTACACCATATCCTACATTTCCCCCAATCCGCTTTAGTAAAGCACCACCTGGTTATTACACCTCCTTCCTGTATATATACATTAGTATTCATTTTAGTAAGCACTGGATAATGTACAAAATGTTTTCACTCGTAGAAAATCATCATCCTCTTTACTCTTGGTGGCGCTGTGGGGTTGGATTGGAAGATTACTGTATTGTAATTCTCTGCTCCATTCCACTAGGGGTCTTATTGATTGTTACTGTTCCCCTACTTTCTTTATTGCTTCTGATCTGCGTATGAAACGTTGTTTGTAATCTTGACTCTCTGCACCTCTCTGGCCTCTCTCTGTACTTCACATCCTCCAAACGCAGCACTGTGATCTCCTCCGCAGTTACAACATTTAACCTTTGCATCAATTTCACATTTTCCATACTCATGTTGTCCTCCGCATCTCGCACACCTTAGCTGTCCTTTACACTGCTGCGCTATGTGCCCCAATCGTTGACATGCGTTAGCACCTGAGAGGTTTGGGGATGTAATCCCTAACAATGAAGTTCAAATATCCCATTTGTACTGCATTAGGTAAGGTTCTCTCAAACTGAATGAGAACTGATAATGTTTCTTTGAGTGTGCCATCCGGTTTGCTTTTAAGCCTTGTGGCTTCCACTACTTTGCCTCCTTTTATTTCATTTTTAACAACTTCCATTGACATGTTCAATGGTACTCCTTTCAGTTTTGCCATTGCTCCTGGAACATGCGCATTCATTTTCTCCCCATTCAGTGACTTCATTCCGATAATCTTTTCCTGCTGCTGTTTGTTACCTATGTATCAATATCGCATCGAGGGTCGGGGGGCTCTGGAAATCGACCATCGGCTCGTTTCGGCGTGGCTCCTGTGTCCGGCTGCCTGCGCCCACTGCCTTGGGCCTCGAAGATAGGAAGAGCCGGATCTGACTGCGTATCATTTTGTTTGTTGAACGCCAGATCCATTACAAACAAATCCTTTTTATTAAATGACTTCGTCGTCTCAAGAGAGCTGGATTTTATGCTTGTTTCGGAGTCCTGGCAGAGAGCCGGGGAGTTTTCCTCCTTGAACGAACTTTGTCCTCCGGGCTACAGCTACTCCTGTGCTCCTAGGCGCACCGGCCGAGGAGGAGGACTTGCCGCGTTCTACAGAGACTGCTTCTCCACCAACATGGTGAGCACTGGATCCTTTCCAACATTTGAAGTGCTAATAACAAAAGTGGGTCGCTCAAACCCGTTTTATTGTATTTTTTAATATATCGCCCTCCAGGCAAGAATGGCTCTTTTTTATCCGATCTTGGTGACTTACTAACCTCCATCATCCGCTATGAAAGAGTTCTTCTGTGCGGGGATTTTAACATTCATGTAAATGACTGCTCAGACAAATTTGCCAGTGATTTCCTTAATGTCACCGAATCTTTTAATTTCTGTCAACATGTGTCTGGCCCAACGCATAACAAAGGTAACACATTGGATCTCGTGTTCACAATTGGTCTAAATATTAGCAACGTTTGTTTTGATGAGCTATCTGTTTCCGACCATAAAGATGTACTATTTGTCATGTCGTTGGATAACGCTTATGTTCAGGGGAAGCGAGTAAAAACCTCGCGTATTTTAAATGGCGCTGCGGTTGAGAAATTTGTAACAGCTTTTGACAGCAATGTTTTGGTGTCGCATGTTGATGATGTTGATTGTCTAATCAACGCTTTCAATACACACTGCTCCGCCATTTTAGATGACGTCGCTCCCATGGTGACACGCAGCTCTCTAGCTGTAAACACATCCCCCTGGTTAACAGAGGACACCCGTATACTGAAACGGCTTTGTCGCAAAGTTGAGCGGCTGTGGAAAACCACAAATCTCCTGTTACACCGTCTCCATCTGAAGGACCTTTACTGTGATTACAACAATTTGGTCAAAAATGCCCGGGCTACCTATTTTTCTAATCTCATCTCCTCTAGTAAGCACAACCCCAGAGTACTATTTAAAACCATAAATACCATTGTAAACCCGTCCACCCCCTCAGTTCCTATTTATTCAAACGACGACTGCGACCGTTTTCTCACCTTTTTTATAAACAAGGTAGCTGATGTGAGGTCGAGCATCACCCCCTCCCAATCCCCTGCATCACCATAGCCGACCTGACCTCTGTAGTGAGCACTATGAAATCTTCCTCAATAGGCCGCAAGGTGAACCTCGAAAAGTCCTTTAGAAAAGAAATCCCGCTCCACAGAAGTGGAACTACATAATCTTTAGTTCATAAAAAAGAACGAGTCATGCTTATCCACCAAAGAAAAGTTCCTGTCAATTCTTCTAGGCACGTAATTATTGGCTGAACTAGTCCCTTCAAAGCGTAATAATATCTTGGTCAAAAGTAGTGCCACGGTTCGTCACGTGATCGTGCTACACCAATTGGGTAGCTGCATATTGTCAACAGAAGTGAAAGATGGCCGCCTCCATGGTTACACTAAACCAGACCAAATGGATTCTAAACAGTGCTGTATGCTTGTTTTATGTCATGTTTTGTCATATGTCTTAATACATCACTAAGTCCGAGGTATTTGCGTTATATACGCGGTATTTGTGAGAGGTTTTACTATCTGGGAACAGAGTTGACCATCGAATCAACATTGGCTAGCAGCGTTTATCAGCCAACTCCAGCTACAACAACATTCCTGGACTACCGTGTTCGCATCGCTAGGTTCATTGGCTGAGTTTGTGGATTATTCCATTAGACTGAGGACTTTTTGTCTGTCTGTCTGTTGTTATTGTTACCCTGTACACGTTAAATGCACTCTTACAATAAACATGACTTGATTTCATACATAGCTGCGTCCAAGAAGAAGGTTAACTTGTTACGTTAAGTAATTTAGATCAATACAATGCAGTACTTATACCAATGACCATTGATTCATTTATTTACTCATTCATCATATAATAATTTCATGAATTACATTATTATTATTATTAATATTATTATAGATTATTATTATAGATATAGATTATTATTATAGATATATATATATATATATATTATATTATTATTATTATTATTATTATTATTATTGTAATATGATAATATTGTATTTGTAACTTCAAAATCAATGCCACCGTTGTAAGCTTGTCCTGTACGTATTCCATCTTGTATTGGTAAAATAATCAACCTTTTCGTGCTTCACAGACGTAATATGCATGTAACAATGTTTGTGTGTTGATAATTTTGACTTTTTGAGACTTTCTGGTGCGTTTTCCTCGTCCCCGCTACTCGATGAAACCATGGCGGTCGCCATTTTTTCCAAATCTGTTTGTTGATACCGGTATATGCAGCTACCCAATTGGTGTAGCACTAGTGCTGTAGCGACGCGTCGACGACTTCAAAATATCGTCGACGACATATTTCCGCGTCGACGCGTCGCTACACACACGTCGGTCACCCAAAGCAACAAGCAGTTCGCAATCGCACTTCAAACACAATGGAGACTGAAACGGCTACCACCTCCTCCTCACAGGATTGCGCACGAAGCCCCCAAACGAAAACATCTCGCCCTAGGTCTTCAAAAGCATGGGAATATTTTAAAGTTAGTCCAAAACGCAAAGATATTTATATATTTATATCTCACTGAGACTGCTGCATAGCCTAGCAGAAGCAGCAGCTAGCTGTGGTGGCTACCATTAGCAGCTAGCATTTGCTCTCCGATTTTTTACATAAAATGGAATTATGGATTATAAATTCAATCATTTTTGTATACATAGACGTTAAAAACCTATGGATTAACCGATTCAGCCGCGTTTTTTCTCATGTTAATGCCATTGAACACGTCTTTTGATCAGATTACGGTGGTGAGACGATCTCCCTAGAAGCTCTGTGAAGGTACGTGTTGTGATGACTGTATTTGCTTCCCCTGTCACGAGTCCGGATCACTCAGTGATGATACTATATACCTACATAATCTGTGGAGTCTCAGCTTTAATCGGATATCTTGTATGTGCAGCTACGATAAGTAATAAGGGTACTTTTATCTTGAGTTCTGTGCCAATGTCCGTTAGCATTTTTCGCTCAGGGGTCATTTAGATGCTTCTTATGAGACTTGTGTTTTGTTTTGGTAAACATGGTTTGTATCGTCAATTAGCTGAGATTATTTCCGTTAATCTGGTATAACACATTAATAGGTTCTTAAATATTAAGATCCCCTGAGACACAGTATCGTGAAAAAAAAAAAATTTTACATTACGTTTTTTTTACATTACGTTTTTTATGAATTGAACAACAGAAAAATAATCGTTAGATTAGTCGACTAATCGATCAAATAATCGCCCGATTAATCGTTTTCAAAATAATCGTATCCCCCCAGCACTATGTAGCACGATCACGTGACGGACCGTGGCACTACTTTTGACCAAGATATTATTACGCTTTGAAGGGACTAGTTCAGCCAATAATTACGTGCCTAGAAGAATTGACAGGAATTTTAGCGACAAACTTTTTTTTGGTGGATAAGCATGACTCGTTCTTTTTTATGAACTAACGATTGTGTAGTTCCACTTCTGTGGAGCGGGATGAAACGATAACAGGGTTCACCTTATGGCCTACAAGCCCTCTGGATGCTTTACCAACGTCCATGCTAAAATAAGTTATTTCATGTGTCGCTCCACCCCTGCTCCACATTATAAACATCTCCATTGTCTCTGGCTCCGTCCCATCATTTTTTAATCAGGCGGTTGTTCAGCCCCTTCTCAAAAAAAACAATCTAGATCCCTCCCTCCCAAATAATTACAGGCCCATCTCAAAGCTTCCATTTGTGTCAAAAGTTTTAGAAAAAGTTGTTGCTAACTCAATACATTTCTGAATGACAATAAAATCCATGACAAATTCCAATCAGGTTTCAGAAAACACCACTCCACAGAATCAGCTCTCCTCAGGGTCTCCAATGACCTCATGATGGCATCGGATGCAGGCGATTGCGTGGTTCTGGTGTTGTTGGACCTGAGTGCAGCGTTTGACACAGTGGACCACGCCATCATGCTAGATAGACTCAGGGAGTGGGTAGGCATCTCAGGGTCTGCCCTCCAGTGGTTTGCCTCGTACCTCAGTGGGAGAAGTTTCTCTGTGGCGGTAGGCCCGTTCTCATCACATAGCACTCCCCTATCCTGCGGCCTGCCCCAGGGTTCTGTTTTAGCCCCCCTTCTTTTTGCCCTGTACATGCTGCCATTGGGCCACTTAATTAGCCAATTTGAAGGTGTCTCGTATCACTGTTACGCAGATGATATCCAGATATACTTCTCCTTCAAACCTGTCAAAATGGAAAAAGTAAACACCCTCATCACATGTCTGTCTGCAATTGAGGAGTGGATGTCAAGCAACTTCCTACAGCTTAATGCATCAAAAACGGAAGTCTTGATCTTGGCGGTTGATAACATCGCCTCCGCAAGCCACCTGGGTTCATTCTGTGGTAACATAAGGGCAAACATAAAAAACCTTGGTGTTACCTTCGATCAGTCTATGCTACTAGACAAACACATACAACTTCTGACCCGTACCTGTTTTTTCCATCTCAGGAACATTGCCAAGCTCAGGGGGGTTCTATCCAACGCAGAAATGGAGATGGCTATCCATGCCTTTATTTCATCCCGGCTTGATTATTGTAATGCTCTGTTCTCCTGCCTCAACAAAACATCAATACACCGGTTACAACAGGTCCAAAATGCTGCAGCCAGATTACTGACTCGGTCCAAAAAAACATGCCACATCACTCCGATTCTTTCTGCCCTGCACTGGCTCCCTGTCCATCTCAGAACCCAATTCAAAGTACTGGTCTTCACATATAGAGCTGTCCATTGCCAAGCCCCAGCCTACATCAATGACTTTATCCACCCGCACATCACAACCCGGGCCCTGAGGTCCTCTGAGCAAGGCCTCCTAAGGGTGCCCCGAACAGGGCTAAAGACTAAGGGTGACCGTGCCTTTGAGGTGGTGGCCCCAAGGCTTTGGAACAAACTCCCCCAGATAATAAAAACCTCGGCCTCAATAGAGATTTTTAAGGGGCAGTTAAAGACACACCTGTTCCGACAGGCCTTTGGGTCGTCAGAGGTGGTGAGTTAGTGGCTGTCTTTTTTATTGATGTTTTGTCGTATGTTTTATCCTAAGTATTACCTGCTGCTGTTTTATGCCTTTTATTCTACATTTTATAGTTATACTTTGAATTGTGTCCTGTGTACTGTACTGTAAAGCACTTTGTACATCCGTGTTGAGAAGGGTGCTATATAAATAAAGTTTTACTTACTTACTTACCCGCTTGTTGTTCATGAACTTAGCAAATTACATTTTTCCAATCTCTTTTTCAATTGATTTTGGTAAGTTTAATCGGGTGGTAATAATATATAATATTATAATATTGGGAGAGATGAATCCCTCCATGGTCACACATGCAGAGCACACAGCACACACAGTGCAATTTGTTCTCTGCGTTTAACCCTAGTACCAGGAGTCTAGTACTAGGAGCAGTGGGCAGCTATTGCACAGCGCCCGGGGAGCAATGGGAGTGAGGGGGGAAGGGGGTTGTCCGATGCCTTGCTCAAGGGCACCACGGCAGGGCAGGAGGTGAACTGGGACCTCTCCAAGTAGCAGTCCACACCATTTTTAGGTCTGGTCGGGGACTTGAACCGGCGACCCTACGGCTCACAGTCCAATCTCCTACTGACTGAGCCACTGCCCACCATCCTGATTGAATTATATTGTAACTTTCCACCCGTGTTCTAGTTCTTTATTCAAAGTTGCTTGGCTGTAATTTTGACTGACTTTTGATTTTTTGTTTTAGCTAGCCTTGTCTGCTTCACCCAACTAATCCGACCAACTTCGCACTCTTACTGAGCTATCTCTTTCTCTCAAAGCCCTTTTCTTCCTCGCGGCTTCGGATATCATCCATTCCATATTGGTTATTTGGCTACCATCTGAGCTGGTTGACATGATGATACAGTCAATGTACAGTTTATGCAAATCCGCCAAAATAACAGTCCAATGCTACCCTTTCTGTATGTTTCCGAGTTTTCCGATTCTCTCTGAGCTATCTGCAACGCGTCTCCGACTTCACTTCCTTCTTCCGGTCTGCAATCCACGTCACGCCAGCCCGACTCGCTCAATCCAGCCCGGACGTTG